GTTTGTGCGGGGAGAAGGGTGCAACAATGAATGAATGGAATTCCAAAATCTCTGTAGATGTTCATTGAAATGAAAAATAAACAAACTAAATTTTTTAAAAAAAGAGTAAAGGGAAAAACAAAACTCACTGGCTCACAGAAGACAACTCTCAACGCTGTCTTCCCAAGACCTCTCATTTACATTTGTGATTGTAAAATTGTACTTTTTACAAGCAACATCAGATATTAACATCAAATCATTCAACAACATAAAAATATTCAACCTCAAGACCATTAAATGGAGAATAAATTGTAACTGAGAGCTGAAAATCTTGATCTATACTACTCTACTGTGTAACTTAGGGATACCAGAAGATATATTTTCCATTGAGGTGGAGAATTGTCCTTGTCTTTCTCCCAGAAAGATGAGAAGGGATCTCCCTCTTTTTTTTTTAATAAAAAATCTTAAAAAATAACTTTTTTTCTACAGCCAGGAGAAGGTAAAATCAATGAATGGGACCTTCTAAGAATGAAATCCCTATGCACATCCAAAAACTTCTCCAACAGGGTAAAAAGGGAAGCCACAAACTGGGAAAAAATGTTTGGTAATGACATGTCAGATAAGGAACTTATTATATCCAGAATTTATAAAACACTTGAGTACCACAACAAGATAAAGGTAAATAATCCAATTGAAAAAGGGCACAGGATATGAACAGACACTTCCCCAAAGAAGACATTCAGATGGCCAACAAGCACATGGAGAAATGTTCAAAATCCCCAGCTCTAGGAGAGATGCAAATCAAAACAACTATAAGATATCCTCTCACCCCAGTCAGAATAGCAAAATTTAACAGAACAGCAAGCAATAAATGCTGGCAACGTTGTGGAGAAACTGGACCCCTTATTCACTGTTGGTGAAAGTGTAAAATGGTGCAACCATTTTTGAGAAAACGGTGTGGCACTTTCTCAAAAAGTTGCAAAGAGAGATACCATTTGACCCAGCAATTCCACTACTGGGAATATACCCTAAAGAAACCATAACCACCATCCAATATGCACACCTATGTTTATTGCAGCTTTGTTCACAATAGCAAGGAGTTGGAAACAACCTAAGCCCATCAAGAAACGAATGGATAGAGAAGCTGTGGTATATTCACACACTGGAATACTATGCTGCATTGAAAAATAAGGAACTCATGAAATATTATTCAAAATGGGTAACTGTGGAAGACATTATGCTGAGTGAAGTGTCTCAGTCACAAAAGGACAAATACTGCATAGTGCCACTGTTGTGGAATGGGACTGACATCAAGGTTGGGGTAAGACTGAGAAAAACTACATAAATTATGTATACTGCATTGAAACAGATGAGGGAGAGAACAATCTAAAAGCGATATCTGATAGGGTATTATGGTTATCACAAGAGTCCAGAATTAAGGTTGAATAGTGGAGTGTACTCAGGTCCATGGGGGAAGAGGGAGTGCGGGGGATTGTATACCAATGAAAGAATTTTTCTTTTACTTTTTTTTGTTATTTTTTTGTTTTTCTTTTACTTTTCAAAGAGAGGAGTGAACTGGGGGGGAGGGCTGGGAAGGGATAAAAGTGCAACAATGAATGGAAATCCAAAATCTCTGTAAATGTTCATTAAAATAAATAAAATAAAAATTTTTTAAAATAAAATTTTTATTTTATATTGGTTTGCTTACAAAGTTTGTATACATTGTGTTTCACACTATAAGAAGGGATCTCTTGATGAAAGTTTCCAGGTCAAGAAAATATTAATGGTGATCTAAAATATTTCCTGTATGTAAAATATAGATTAACTAATGAGGAAAATATTAAGATTCCAATACCTTAAAAAAACAAAAAGAGGCAAGCTCTGGTGGCCTAGTGGCAAGAAGCTGCACTGCAATCTCAGAGGTACACTGTTCAAATCCACCAGATGCTCTGCGGGAGAAGGAGGAACAGTCTCCTCCTGTATCAGTCAGATCTGATTTGAAGGTACACACAAAAAAATAATGAAATAAAATAAAATTTAAAAAATTTAAAAAAGATACTAAGACATATCATGCCATAAAAAAAGAGAAAATACAAATAGGAAAAATGCTCCGTTTTTAAGTGAAATGTTTACATTTCACTTTAAATTAAAAACGTTAATACAAGTAACGAAACAGTACCATTTATTGCTTGTAAATATTTGGAAGTCCTTGCTAAATTGGTAATTCCCAGTCCTGGGAAGGGTTAATTACTGCTAGTGAGAATGTAAAAAGTACCATTCTTTAAGAAAATAATTTTAATTATGTATAAAAAAGCATTTAAAATGCTTTCTTTTCCTGTTGTTTTACTTTTCTGTTTCCCAATGTACCTTTAATGAGTAGTTATAACTTTTTTCTTCTCCTCTTCCTATGTGTGATTTTGGTTTTTGGTTCTGTGGGGTTTTTTTGTAAAGGCAAAGTCAGAGTCCTACCCTCCTACCCAGGTAATGTGGGGAGGGCTGTGCCCAGGTGACACCTGGAAGTAAACACACAGGGTCTCAGCTGGTCTGCCTATTTCTCTAGATAGCTTCTTTGTCAGTAAAAAAGGGAGATGAGCGGTTTGAATCCACTGGATGCTCCGCTGGAGAAGGAGGGTCAACCTCCTCCTGTGTCAGTCAGATTCAACTTGATAGTACACAGTAAGAAAAATAAAAGGGAGGGAGAGATGAAGGAAAGGGGGAAGGTCTGAGATGTCTAAGAAGTATCTAATTAGGGAGGGAGCTCTGGTGGTCTAGTGGCAAGAAGCTGCACTACAATCCTGAAGGCGCAAGGTTCAAATCCACCAGAACTCTGCGGGAGATCTCCTCCTGTGCCAGTTGGATCTGATTCAATGGTACACAACAAGGTGGGGAGGTGGGGGTGGGAGGGCGGATATATCTAATTAGGAAAAAATCTGCCAAATTGTTCAACTTGTTCTGATAATCATCAACATAAATGACAAAGTTTGTTACGTTTGACCCAACGGAAGAGAAGGACAGTTAGAAGGTCTGTTCTTCACTTGAGCTCCTCCTTCTCCAGTGCAGTAGAGGGCCAAGGTAAGCTTGTCCTTAATTCAATGAACTAAACTCTTAGCAGGCTATCAGTAGAGAATAAGTACTGTCAAATTAGAAAGAATTCCTCATATACCATTCTATAGTTTATCTCTTGATTGATCGGGAAAGAATAATTCTCATTGATCTACTCAGTGACTTACCACATCCCCCTCAACAATCTCCAGCTGTTCTTCTGGCTCACTGGCTTCCTCCAACAATGACTCTGGGAAGAATAAAGACACAAAATTGAAATCAGTCTTCAAAAAGTTAAACATCAAGTTACCTTACGACCCAGCAATTCCATTCCTAGGTATGTACATCCAAGAGAATTAAAAACAGGTGCTCAAAAACATGTACATGAATGCTCACAGTGGCATTAAAAGTGAAAACACACCCCACAAAAAAGTGAAAGCAACTCAAATGCTCATGAGTTGATGAGTGAATAAACAGAATGTCAGCTATCCATGCAATGGAATACTACTTAGTCATGAAAAAGCTGAAACACAGAACAAAACTGAAAATATATCAAGTGGAAAAAGTCAGCCACAAAAGATCACATATTGTATGATTCCATTTATCAAACTGGGGAAATTTATATAGACCAAAAGCAGATTAGCGGTCACTTAGGGAAGAGGAAGTTGTGGAGAAAAAGGAATTATTACTAGTGGTTATGTAGTTTCTCTCTGGGATGATGAAAATGTCATGGAATTACAAGTGGTGATGGTTGTATAGCTTTGTGAACATACTAAAAATCACTGAGGTGTATATTTTAAAATGGCAAATTTTAAAATAAGTGCTTAAACCTCAATTTGTGGGGTTTTTTTTTGAGATTTTGATGAAAGTTTTCTAGAGAACTTTGATTCTCATTCATTCATTGTTGCACACTTTCTCCTGCCCATCCACCCCTGCCCCAGTTCTCTTTCCTCTTTTAAAAAAAATTATTTCACTGTTGTACAATTTCCTGCCCCATCCTAGTCCACTTTGCAATGCAACTTTTATTCTGGACTGTTGTCATGAAAATAATACCCAATTATATATTCCTTTTAAGCAGTTCTCTCCCTCATCTGTTTCAATGCAGAGTACATTATTTATCCCCCCTTTTCTTAGTTTCCTCCCAACCCTGATGTCAGTCCTGTTTTACAACAGTGGCATTAGCAGTACTTGTCCTTTTGTGACCAAGATATTTCATTCAGCAAAATGTCCTCCAGGGTCACACATTTTGTATAATATTTTATTTGTTCCTTGTTTTTTCAGTATTGCATAATATTCTATTGTGTGAATAGACCACAGCTTCTCTATCTATTCATTCGTTGATGGGCATTTGGGTTGCTTCCACCTCTTTGCTATTGTGAACAATGCAGCAATAAAAGACTGCTATTAGGGACCTCTCCAAAGTACTGAAGAGCAATGGTGTCTCTCTGGAGACTAAGGTGCATCTGATATAGGCCATGGTCTTTGTAATCACTTGTTATGCATCAGAGAGTGGGACAATGACCAAGGAGGATAGAAGGAGAATTGATGCCTTTGAGCTGTGGTGCTGGAGAAGAAAATTGACTGAGGATACCATGGACTGCTAGGAAAACAAACAGATTCATCCTGGAGAGGGTTAAACCGGGCGGCTCGTTGGAGGCAAGGATTCTGAGGCTTCGTCTAACAAACTTTGGACATGTTGTAAGAAGAGACCGGTCCTTGGAGAAGGACATCATGCTTGGTAGGATGGAGGGACAGTGCAGGAGGGGAAGGCCCTCTATGAGGTGGATTGATTCAGTGACTGAGGTAATCGGGATGGGAGTGTTGGAGACAGTGCGATTGGCACAGGACAGAGCAGAGTTTAGGACTATTGCACATTGGGTCGCTATGAGTCGTAAGCGACTCAACGGCACATAACAACACAACAACATGCATACATCTGCTTGGGTGGCAATTCTGGTTTCTTCAGGATATATTCCCCGTAGTGGAAATGCTGGGTCAAACACTATTTCTATTTCCAACTTTTTGAAAAAGCACCATACTGCCTTCCAGAGTGGCTGCACCATTTTACAGAAGAGTCTGTTCATATCCTGTGCCTTTTCTGTGATTGGGTTGTTACCTTTGTCTTCTTGTGGTGTAAACCTCAATTTTGTAAAAAACTGAGGGAAGATATGAAGATAATAGTAAGATTATTCTAGTCATTCAGATTTTAGTCTTAATTCCTCCCCCAATCCTTTTAGATAATGGAGAAGGTGAGCACCACTGGAATTGACCCTTCTCAAAAAAAACTGGTTGCTGGGAACTCATTTATGTTCTACCCATTATGGACTCTGTAAGATTTACAGAGAGAATGTCTGCTTCTTTCTCCTGTTAACTGCTGCTTAAATAGGAGTCTGGTGTAAAACTAGTAGGTTTTCCATCCCTCACACTCTGCAGAGACAAACAAATGAAATAGAACCAAAAGACACTGAGGAACAGGAAGAAAAAATAAGAGGGAAATGAGGCACAGAAGTGGAAAAAGAAAACAATTAAAAATATTGGTGGACTAAAAGACAGCTGATTCCTAGGGCTGAAAGCAGAGAGTACCAGAGGAATATCCACCTGTGTTTCATTGACTATGCAAAGGCATTTGACTGTGTAGGTCACAATAAACTGCAGCTAAGAAGAATGGGAATCCAAGAACACTTGATTGTGCTTATGTGAAATCTATACTTGGACTACGAAATCTATACTTGGAATAGAGGAAGGATCACTACATCATTCAAAATGAGAAAATGCATATGCCAGGGATGCATCCCATCTCCATACTTTTTTACTCTATATACGAAACAGATCATCTGGGAGGCTGGGATCTATGAGGAGAAATATGGCATCAGGATTAGAGGAAGATTCTCAACAACCTGTGGTATGCAAATTACACAACCCTACTTGCTGAAACTGAGGACTGCTAAGAGAATAAGTGGGACCATCCTGGAGAGGGTGAAACAAGGCTACTTCTTAGAGGTTAAGTATTTTGAAGCTCTGTGTGACATACTGTGGGCATATTGCTAGGAGAGGAACATCATGCTTGGAAGAGTAGAGGGAGAGCACAAGACAAGAAAACCCTGGATAAGATGGATTGGCTCAGTGACTGGGGCAATATGGTAGGTATGTCAGCGACAATGAAATTGGTTCAAGATAGAGCAGGGTTCAGAACTCATATTGCAGAAGAGTTGGAGTCAACTCAATGGCACATAACAACAGCAGCAACAGGGCTTAGTGGAGGGAGCTCTAGTGGCCTAGTAGCAAGAAGAAGTGCTGTAATCCCAAAGATATGCATTTCAAGGCCACCAGCTGTTCTGCAGGAGAAGGATGGGCAATCTCCCTCCTCTTGTGATTAACTGCCTGAAAACCTGCTGGAAGGTCAGCTATAGGTCGATTACACAACAACAACAACAACAATGGGGGTTAGTGGCAAGAGACACCCAACCACCTTGCAAAACGTGTTGCCATTCATTTCCGGAAAGGAAACAGGCCAGAGGAAGGAAGTGAAAAACAGATCATTTAAAAATAAACTGCTTTTATCTTTAGACAACCCATGCAAAGTCTAAAAACTCACAATAAGATACCAACATATGATGTTTATATATATATAAAAATATAAAAATAAGTTTAGGAATTATAAATGCCAATTTCAGGATAGTGGTGACCTTGGGAAAGCACAGAAGGGATGGGAGGGTGCTGAATAAAGGATTTCCTTGTTTCTCTCATGATTACTTTTATAGTGGGTAGTAAGTACATGGGCATTCATTATAATAGTCTTCTTATTTTGTTTGAAATACTGATGTATAGCCTCTTATCCAAAACTCTGGGATCAGGGATATTTCAGAATTTAGAATTGATATACAATACATTATATTAAGCCCTGGTGGCCTAGTGGCAAGAAGCCACTCTGCAATCCTGAAAGCACACAGTTGGAGGCCCCCGCAGCGCTGTGGCAGAAGGACGGGCAATCTTCTCACATACTATTAAATGCCTCTAAAATACCCACCGGGGGGCCAGCAATGGGTCAGTTCTGACTCGATGGTACATCACAACATACAGTACATTTAGGGAGCTCTAGTGGTCTAGTGGTAAGGAACTGCACTGCAATCCCAAAGGCATGTGGTTCCAATCCACTAGCTGCTCTGTAGGACGATAGGCAATTTCCAGTGTGATTTACAGCTTCTGAAAACCCGCTGGAAGGTCAGCTATGGGTCAGCTCTAACTCAACGGTACACAACAGGACAACATACAATACATTTAGCATATGGAGTGCCTGGGTGTTGCATAATGCTCAGCTGCTCACTGGATTGTTATACGTTTGCATATACCCTGAGGCACCTCAGAAGGCTGGGTCATCTACTTTCCAAAAGTCCGCCATGGAAACCTTTCAAAGTTCTGCTCTGGCACATGAGAGGTTACTAGGAGTCAGCATCAACTGTAGCATATAGCATACATATGCCATCTTCCCAGACCCTTCCACCTTCCCAGGTTATCAAAGACGCTTTTGTTCCGGCCTGAGGGTCACAGGCCCTCGGGCCAAGAAAAGCCTATCTACACACCAGTTCTACAGGATGCATCACCTTTGCTCGGGAAACATTAAGACTAAACTTTAGAGACATTGATCCCAACATAAGGAACTACCATCAGCTGATGTGTTTGGAATCACAGAAACCATGGAAGCTTCATATATAAGTTATTAGATGGAGGGCTGGTCAAAGGGAGATAGATGTGAAGGGAGGGAGTAGAAGTGGATGGGTATCCTGGTGGATGGTGGAGCAGGGAAATAAGTGGGTGTGAGAAAGGCAGGGACAACAATGACACTAAAGTTAACTCCGCAATAAAAGATAAACCTTTAACTTGCTGGTCTGTCTGATACTTCTCTAAATCTGAACATTCACATTGAGACAGACTAGGAAGAAGGATTGGCCATCCACTTCTGAAATAGCAGGCCTCTGAAAACCCTATGTACAACAGAACACATTTAGGTAATAGAAACGACAAAGGAGGTTGAGTTTTCAAGTATGGAAATACAAAGAAAGACGAACAGTTGTAGGCAGACACTGGTGATTGGGACATGGAATGTGAGAACCATGAATGTAGGAAAATTAGATATTGTTAAGGAAGAAAGGGAACGCATAAATATTGACATACTAGGCATTGGTGAGATGAGATGGACTGACATGGGGCATTTTGAGTCGGATGACCATATGATATATTACTCT